GTTCGCGTTCCCTGATGCTCCATAAAACTGAGCAGAACTGTTTCTCTGTAGGTTTTCAGGCCATTTGGAGCAAAGCAGTTGTTTACAGAGTTCATATTTTACCCCTTTCTTTGGCCTGCACAGATTATGTAAAGCACTGTTTGGCCGTATAAGCCTTAAATATCTCTCTCTTAGGCCTTACTAACTTTATTAAGTACACATTCACTATACCAATTAGTATGCCTAGTGAGAAGCTTCATATTCAGGGTAATGACCTGCAAATCAAAAACAGCTTGACTAATTTACTTCTTACTTACCAGAAAAACACAGTTGGGATTCATGCTGCAACAAAATGCACAACTATTACTTGATTACCCACACAAACTGGGAAAGCTCTGAAGAGAACCTCAGTCCTTCCACATCCGAAAACAGTGATTTCTGAAACCTTGCTCCAGGAAAACCATTGTTACAGTTGTGAAGTATTTAAAGTCTCTGTATTCTCTCTAAACTGCCACTAAAGGACAAAGTCCTTTGTACAGTACTACACATGATAAAACCCTTGTAATGAGAAGACAGCAATCATTAATAATTTTACTTCATTATAAGCAATTTTTCTACAAATAAATATGTCCAGTTCATCATTTCAAGAAGATTTAACTATGTGGACGGCTTGAAGTCAGATAACAGGACACAAACATTAGACAAACATTAGAGTTTAAAACTAAGATACCTAAGGGCCAGTAACTCTCAAAAACAGTTTGACCAATTTTCTGTAAACTTCATAGAAAAATTCTCTAAATTTAGAGAATTATTTTTTAGCCCTTGATGATTACCATGGACAGTGAGACTTCCCCCCCACCCCAAAAAAAAAAACAAAACCTGTGTTCTTTCTAGTCATGGGTAATTCAGTTTTAGTGTACAAAAGTGGTAGCCAACATTTTTGGCAAGTGTGCCCCAAGGTAAGCTTGCACCCTCCCTGAAAGTTGATCCTCTTCTCTTCCCTGATCTGACGTGTGCCACATACAGAGACTGCCCACACCACAAGATTGATTATCTCTGCTTTATTCTATTTCTATTACTAGATTCCTAAGCCAGTAGTGACCAAAGTAGGTATTAATGCAGAAACTGATCATTCTAAAGGGAAGATATTAAAATGCCCATCAAGACCACTGAGTTTTTAAAAAGATACAAACTGATAAATGACAAACTTTTTTCATAATAACTTCAACTTTGCATTACTGTGTGTATGCAAGAAGGAAATAATAGAGGAAATATACCTTTAGAGTGTGCATAGCCAACACCAGATATGCATGGTCTGAAGTATTATAAGCGACAAGCCTTTGTAGAATTCAAAATTCCTAACTTTGTTGGGCTTATGTGGTTTCACAAAGCAGAAAAGCTAACTACAAACAGAGAACTCAAACAAATAAGCTCCCTTCTTGGGACTGCCTGATGAGCATGGTGAGCAAGAAAACACCATTCCCCAAAAACTGCCTCCTCACTGTACATCTCCTTCTGAGCAGGTAGGGAGCAAGTTCATATTCCTGTGAAAAGACCTGGAAAAAGACATGATCAGTGTTGAGAAGCAGCAGAGGTATAACAAGTCAGGAACATGAGAGATATGGAGAGAAACTTCCATTCCTCCTAGGAGATTTGTGCAAAATGGCAGCATGTGCTGGGGAACCAGTGGTACAGGTTGTGACTGCTGGACCTTACACAATCTAGACCAAGGTCTATGAGGGACTGGAGAGAAAACTGGACAGGGAGCCTGAGCACTCATCCACAGCTGCAAGCTCCCATTTGTTTTTATTAGAATAAAGTAAAGGAATGCAAAGCCCTAGGCCTGAACAGCCCTACTTTTCAATTGAATGTCCCTCCACATACCCCTGCCCGGGCCAGGGATGCAAATAAGTACTACTATTGTTTCACTTTAAGATGTAATTTTTTATGCCACTGTACTTAAGATATATGAATTTGTTCCCTTTCTTGCTACCCTTCGTAAAATAAACTCTTCACACCTTAGTCATGCAGCCTCATGGTTACAGAACCGGCTCAAACTCCTGCAGCACTTGCTTCCAACGTACATACACCCCAGCCAGAAAAGAACCCAACCATGCATTAGCAAGTCAAAAGATCTCAATTTCTTAGAACCTGGTAGGTTAGACTTCTCTCTTAAGGCGTAAGAGGGTGTGAAATAGAGAACCAAAGCCTCAATATAGACACAATGGGTGCATCGACACATGCACTAACTAGTCAACTGTGAAGATGACTAATAATCTCCACAGGCAAGGGTCACTTTATTAGGGCACAACGTATTAATTAACTCCGCCATAAAATAGTACCGTCAGAGACAATACTATCTTATGGAGGAGTCATTTACCATGCAGAAACATGTGTGTGGATGGTGACCAGGACTGCAGAAGTTTGAGCCAGGGTGGAGCAGCCCCAGGCTGGCAGCAGGCTAGACTGCAGAAATTTGAACCAGGGTAGAGCAGCCCCGGGCTGGCTCCACAGTGCTAGTTTCGGCACGCAATGCAATGTGATCATGCCAGCCCCTCTGCCGCCCAACACCACTACTTGGAGCCTGGATCTGACCTCCACCAAGCCTGCTGCCAACCTGGGGCTGCTCTACCCCAGCCCAAACTGCTGCAGTCCTGGGCGCATACGAAGATGCTGCTCTCAGGAGCAACTGACTCTGGTGCAAACTGCACTGCAGTTTATTGAGCCACATTAATAGCTCATGTGGATGCACCCAGCAAGTATGAGGCCTTTGACTGAACAAAAACAAACAAAAAAGCCTCCTACAACTTCTTGGCACACAGGCTTAGTACGCACACTGTAATTAAGTATTTGAAAAGTTAATAATGCAATAGCTGTGGTTCCTCCTTAGCCAGTCATTGCCCTACTTTTCTCTACCTTTTTGGAGGGAAATACCAGAAATCAGTCTCTGAATTTTAAAGTGCACTTTCTGTGCATAGGTGACGTCATGACCCAAAGGCATGATTTTGTGTGCGCTTCGGCACCAGAATTATCCCCGCCAAGTTGCAGCTTCATTGCACGGGAGAGTTTCCTGTTGCAGAGGAAAACCCCGGTGCAGGGACGAGTTTCCCGCCTTTTTTGCAGCTTCTTTTGCAGAGTGCATTGCTCATGTTGCAAGAGGAATGCACGGTGCAAAAGAGTTCCCGCCACCGGTATGCAAATTCATTCCCTGCTATTGGCTAGTTTTAAATTATTCCCACGTGGCGGCTAACGATTGGCCTGTTAGCTGTATAAGAGGCTTGAGCAGTTTCCGCCCAAGCCGAAGAGGACTCCACATCCATCTCATGGGGACTCTGGATACCCGGCAGGGGAATAGAAACCCTGTGTGAGATTCAGATGAGCTTGGCGACCTGATGCACCTCCCACCTCTTCCCGTCTTCGAGCGCAACTTTTATAAGACGTATCTACGATTCTGATTTTGGTGGCTTGTTCACCCAGAGCATCCGGAGCTCTGTACCGTGGAGCCTAGCACCCTCCACGAGACCGTCTGTGTTGTCTGTCTGTAACTGCAACTCAAGCAAGTTTCCCAGCCTATACCACTGCCATCTCGGTGTAAGAAAAACAATCTTTTAAACTACCGCTAAGCGTTTGTGCCTAATTCCAGCTCGACGGCCTCCCCTCTCCGACCCGGCGTGCCCGGGCTGCTGGCCACAGCCCGCGTGCAGCACGGAAAAGGGCTCGGGTCGCTCCCGGCCTGCACAGGTGAAAACAGACAGGAAAGGGGAAATGCTTTTTGAAGCCTTCTCACCCTGTGCGAAATAAGGTACAGGAATATGCCCCCATGTTGAGGATAGATATAACAAACCTAACTTAGTAGATGCCACTATAGCTATTTGTTAATTAGATCCCCAGTTCAGCAAAGAATATAACAGTGCATGCTTACTTTTCTGAAGTTAATGAAACTTAAGGATGTTTCCTCAACTTCAGGGAGTAGCATTTAAATACCCAGCCTACTAAACCTATGAATCTTCCATGTGCCAACATCTGTGGAAGCTCACAAGAGGAAAAAAATATTTTTTTGAGATATCATGAATTAAAAATGAGTGAAAATCTAGTTCCTATTACTCTTTTAAAAGCATTGAGTTTAGGGAGCCTTTTTTCCATTCTCTTTTATATAGTTTTTAAATATTGTGGAAAACTGAAACTAAGTAAACTACAAAATTGTACACAAACTATGGGGCTTATTTGCTTGGTAGAAGTAACGGATCTTAAGAGCAAATGAAGAAAAGGTCTCATTGATTCTCCTTGCATAAATGATCTCCGTCCATCCCCACCTCCTGCTTTGCTTCCAGCGGGATCCTGATCTGACTTAAATTCTTGCTCCCTTCCTCCCCTCTCCACTTCTTGCTTCGCTCCCAGCCTGATCTTGCTACTTTGCTGCTCCCAGCCCCAACATGTTTTGTGTCTCTTGTTGTCCCCCAACAACCTGCTTCTCACCCTCTCCTCAACCTGCCACTCTGCTTCTCACCAGGTCCTGCCACTTTGCTCCCTGCCTGATTCTTCTGCTCGTCTTCCCACCTCCTGCCTGATCTGACATTTGTCACAATCAACAGCAGTGTGTGCCACTTGGGATATGCATGCCACACGGTGCATACAAGGATCTCTAAGTCTAAACTCAAATCACTCTTTCAAAATGTTTCCTTCTCTCTGCTTTACTGAGCAGCCAGCCCCTACAATCACTAAAAAAGAATAAAAAATAAAAAGACAAGGTTTGAAAGAAAGAGGTGCTCTAGAACTGTACATTTGAAGTAGTTTTTCCTTCTGCTGCCTTGGTTATTACTGACCTTCGCAGCAGTCCTGCCACATTCTCAGATCCATTTTTGGTATGTCGCTACAGCTTACATAGCCTTGAGGATAGTCTGCCTTTAAGAAGACATCAGGCTGGACCTGCTCGATGTTGTCACCATTGTCACAGAGTACCCGTGCCAAAGAAGTCTGCTTCAGTTGTGTGAGCTGTGCTGTCGTGAACACTCCAGGATTTTCATACCAGAACCTAGTCAGCAGGCAAAAAGATGCAACAACATTACAGGTCTGCTGTCTAAGAGGTAAACATGTCAAATGGTAACAGCGAGGCAATTAGAAGAGAACACATAGAATGCTCAATGTGGATGAGATCACTTTTGTTTTCCAGTTACATTTACTTGAATTGCTTGCCTTTTATCAGAGCCTTTGAAGTTATTAACTCACACAGTTGTTTTGTACAGAAGTTAACCATGTTTTAGAAAGGTTCAAATTGGGGTTTCCACTTTTAATGTTAATATTAAACTTGTTTGAAATTATACATTTGGGCAATTCTCAAGATTCTAACTCTGTTTTTAAAGAATTAAAATGATCAATGTACAAAAATGCTTGCCAAAAACAAACAACAAAAACAAACAGCATCCTTTAAGTGACAAGCATCCTATCTAACCCAATCATCCAGATGAAATGTCACATCCCACTCTCCCTCCTTATTTCTTCATGCATTTCCCAATCAGAACTTTAACTTGAAAGGAGCAAATTTGGTAAAAGTTTGTCAAATGGCAGTTTTTTGGTTGAAAAACACCATTTTAAAAATGATTATCCTCTAAAACGATCATCATTTCTTGTTATCCATGAAAAATTGCATGTTTTTATTTTTTTCCCTAAAATGTAATTAAAAAATTAGTTGAAATTATTAGCTTAGACACTACAAAAATAATTATTGGCATTTGTTATTGAAAACAAAACAAATTAAATAGGGGAAATTTGATTTGCAATTAAGACTTCAAATTAAATTGTGAAAAAGGATGCATTCATCAATTTCAAACACTTTGAAATGAAAACAAACTCATTTTTTGCAAAATATTTGCTCAATTAATTTTTAACCAGCTATAGATGAGCTTACATATGATTATTGACCTCAGAGTATTATCAACATGCAGCATTTTTCAGGACCAAGCCTTTAGACTGTAAACTCAGGGACAGTGTATTCTCAAGCCATCTGTAAAATCCTATGTACATCTGTACTGTGCTACTAAAACAAAAACAAACAACTTTTAATTTAAAACATGTGACAGTCTTGCTTAGACCCTCTGGGTCTAACTCCTTATTTTAAAAATACCTTAATTTAAAAAGGAAAAATCATGAAGTGGTAAAGTCATGAGAAAACAGGTGCACATGCAGAATTAGGACTGAAGGTTATGGCCAAGTATTGACATCTTTTACAGAAGAAAAAAATTCTGCTCCCTTCATGCTCTACTGAGTCAGTGATAAAGAAGGGTCTGGTTAGATGGAACAGGAGGAAAATGGCCAATCCTTGTGTCTGGAGGATGAATACTTGTGTTCAGCCTTCCTAAAGCACTTCCCCTCCATGCCTCCTCCTCCAGCTCCAAGGTACAGTGGCAAGAATATCTTGAGAAAAGAGGGCAAGAATATTTTTGGTTACATCTTTCCCAGAACCAACTATATAGTTGAAGAAGAGGTATTACACAAGTTTTTGGACACAGCTCAATAGCTGGTCCAATAAACGATCCAACCAACAAAATCTTTGTTTCTTGTATATTTCCAGGACCATCATGGCTACCCCATGGCTAATAACTCTCCATCCTAATTAAAACATTGAGAGAAGGTTGACATGATTTCACCACTTCCAGGTTCCTTCCATTGCAGTCATGAGGGGCTCTCTCAGGCATTCTCTCCCTCAGAATTAAAAACATAATAGTTCTCCTGTAGCTATTATATAATCCATTGTCTATTGCAGCCATGCATTCTTGGCCCTATAGTTGAAGTATTCCTAACTGTGTTGGAAGGACTGCTGTTGGTCTAAACAATTACCCATTTAGAAACTTAAAAATATTTCTTTTTCTTCTGAAACAAATTGACAGGGTATATGGGATGGAAAAAGGTTATTTGACCTTTTTTTGCAGCATCCTGGCTACCCAGTTTTTAGCAAAAAGAAGAATGGGAATGTAATGTTAGGAAACAATACTGAAACATCTAGTTTTTTTGCAATGGAGGCTGGTTTCTAATATAGATAAAATACTGAAAGGAACAGCTTTCAAAGGGAAAAAGGTTATTGCTGCTGCACTTAATAGCCTTAGGGGAGACTTTTGCTAACTAATAAATACTTTGGAGAACCATAATTCTCTCTCAGGACATGAAGAGTAAGCAAATGCATAGAACAACTGAGTCCTAGAGGTTACACTGAAGAAAGTCTGCCAAGATTTACTGGTTTATGGCATTAAGGCATTGAACCATACACTGGTCACCAAAACTGTTTTGTATTTGAAAAGTGCGAGGTATGAGGGATTGAAAGTTCTCATTGGTTAAAGCTTCTGCTTTAAAGTGTATTACTCTTTCATTCCTTTACGTTTTAATCAGCATCTTGTAGCACATCACATTTTTTTAAATTTCTGATTCAATAAACAGTAGTCATGAAGCTAATGGTTGGGATCAAAGCACATGACCAAAAGGTTTAGAGTTTTTGTTCCGACCTACTACGAATTTCACAGACTAGTCAAAACAGGTTTTTTTTTAATGTAAAGGGTGAGTTATTTTAGTCACATCAGTTCTCAGTTTACCAAATGTACCTAGCTTACTAATGGAATGGTGATATGTCCTAACTTCCCTGCACTCTTTCAAGCTACAATTAGGATGAAATCAAAACATTTGTATACCATATCAGTGAATCCAACCCATGAAGCAGGATGTTGTGAGTACTGAATCTGAATAGACCTGTATTATACACGCCAAACTATCATGCAAATCTGATTACCTATCTCCATCCCTGAGCCTTTGAAACTGTGTAACAAGAAGACACATGAGAGTTGGTCCCACTCTTGTACCAGGAATCAAATCTTCCACCATAAGAGCCGGCCACAAGTCAATGTTCAGGGGTGTGCCATACAGCCTGAAAAATAAACACAAGGAACACACATGAGATATAACCAAGTTAAAATACTGCCATCCAGCTCATTTTCATTTTTGTTCATTTGGAATGTGTTTTACAGATCTGACTTAAGAAGCACGCTCCCTTTAGTCAAAACTAAAATACTGATTTTTAAACATAGGTATTCTTAGGACCTCACAACCTTCAAAAATATTCTGGATATTGTCACCACACTATTTCAAAAGCAAATTCCAATGATAACTATAAATATAATAACTAGGGTGCTATTCTGATTCATTTTCAAAATGTGTAACCAGTGCATAGAAACATTTGAAGTCAGATTCTGAATTGATATAAATCATTTTAAGTTGCACTGTGGTCAATGGAACTATGTCAGTTGATATGATTCTCACTTCATTGCATAGTATCATAGGAAAGTAGGGCTGGATGGAACCTCAGGAGACCATTTAGTCCAGCACCTGGTCAAGGCAGGAGAATCTGTATCTAAACTATCTTATCTGACAGGTAGATAGACAGGTGTTGGTCTAACCCAGGGCTTGACAACATTTAGCGATGAAGGGCCAGAGTTTGTTACCTGGCCTTCTGCCATGATATGTAAATCTCTGCCTCCTGAAGTGCCCAAGCTGCTTGCACTTCTGCTGCTGCCAGTCCTTCTGCAGCAAGGGTAAGTGCAGGTATGAGAGAACATTAGGGAGGGCTGCAGAGAGGACAGGACGCTTGGTGCACCTACATACTGCTTAAACTCCCTCGCTGCCCCAGGCTGGGTAGGACTTCTGCGAGTTTCCTTTGTAGGCTGGATCCAGCCTGTGGGTCTCAGGTTGCTGATCCCTTGTCTAACCTATTCTTATAAGCTTCAGGAACAACTCTTATGGCACAAACAAAGAATGACTGTTACCGAAGCTAAGTTCAAATACAAATATCTGTATATAAACTTACACCTAAAAATCAGGTTTAAGGTAAAAAAACAGGGCATTTTTCCAAACCAAGGACAATTTTCAAAATATACTTAAAAATATATATGCATTAGTGTTTGTGATTTCTCTCTTGCAGCAAGGAAAGCAGTAAATGAAAAATGTCTGTCACTCAGATTTTGCAACAGACCCATAAAATTCTTATTATAAAGAAATATTTATCAGACTAAATCAAAATATGAATTAAATGATTATGATTTTGGCAGTTTACAATGCAAACTTACATTCTGTAGCCCTGAAAACGTTTCAGAAACACGCTTTTCATCCCTACAGTGCTGTTCCCTATGCCATTTTGTGATTCAAACATGTTAAGAGCTCTCATTATACTCCATATTGCTAAAATAAAATTTAAGTCTAATTATCATTATGTGATTAGTCATTCATTGACACAGTAATCTTTTCAGCATGAAACAGTTCGTGTCAAGTTCTACAAAAGATCTCTTTCAGAGATGTTTCCCCATTAAAAGAAAAGTGAAACATTAGTTTTTGAAAACTGATATTTAAAAAAATGTCATTTGTTTCAAAAACTGGAAAAAACACCCCAAAATGTATGAAAATAGTTGTTTTGGTTAAAAGGCCCAAAAGGGAATAGCTCTTTCAATTAAAAAGTGTCAATAAACCTTCAATAAAATATTTTTCATTTTAAAGAGACGGTAAACTTCACTTCTGTTTAATAATATTACTACAAATAATAAAATCTACATGTTGTTACATGCTATTATGTCACATCTGTGATGGCATGAATGCTAGGAGGGAGATATTTGATACAGATTTTACCATCACCCCCCTCCTGCAATGAGAGCTGCCTGAAGGAGCTCATAGCAGATTTTGAATCTAAACCAGCTTCACATTTATAAGGAACTCAATTATTTTGAATTTCAATCGAATAAAGACATAATATTTTAGTTTCAAAAACGAAATCCATTTCTACTTCCAATCTTTAATTTCAGTCTGCTTGCATAAGATAGTAGTGGTTTTCACGCTTCCTAAAGTCAAAGAAACCTTTTGTAT